AGATCGTTCTAATCAAATTGATAAGACCCAATTCACCGTGGTCATAATTAAATGTGTTAAACGGAAAATAGCTATTCGCGTTTAATATCGCCCGCCAAGGCATATCTAAAGTGTTCAGACTACTCGAGACTCTTAGAGAATCTAAGCGAAAGGGTAATAGATTTTTTAATTTCAGAGTTTTTTAATTTTTTTTAGTTCCAAACTTATGAACACAAAAGTCCGCGAAATAAGAAAGCTAAGATAAAGTGCATCTCCCGTACTTTATGGAAACCAACTTATTGGACATCAGACTGCAATAAAATACCTCATATCTTAAACTTTATTACCCAAAATCTATTTCTAACTTCATTAACACAACAGAAAACTTTAATCTAAATTAATCCAAATTTGCTTAGTAGTCATAATTGACCATATCAATTATTCCTCCAAATCCGTACATAAAAAAGAATGATTGTTGGTTGAATCTAAATTCTGATCACTCAGTAGTTATACTGAGGCTAAGTAAAACGATAATAAAAACACCAACACTAGTTAATTTAACGACTGATTGGATTAGTTTTGCCTTAGGCGTAAATGCAAAAACGGTGCTTAATGTGCCTCTAAAAACAGAAAATAGCTAATTAGATATAATTATATAGATTAGAAAATTAGATAATAAGCGGAGATGTTCACCTCCATCATTCAGGCTGCAGCATCGTGTAGACAGACTACGCAGAAAACAATATGATTCAACTACCACCGAGAGAATTAGAGAACTGGTGAATCAGAAAAGGAAGGCTAGAGGAAGATGGCAACAATCAAGAGACCCTGAAGACAAAAACATTCTTAACAATATGGCCCAAAAAGTTAGAAGAAGTTAAAAAAACGGCATGATGACTTAATCAAAAATTATCTAGCTATACAAAATTAAAATACGAATTGCCCAAATTCCTTCTTTCAAAAAGAGGAAGGTATATGGGTGAGAGACAGTGTAGAAAAAGCTAAATTTTTACCACTCACCTTGTTGAAATTTTCATACCAAATGAAAACATCAATGCTTACTTGAAGTATCAACCGCTCCACAAAAAGAAAATATGAAACTAGTTCCACTTAAAGAAATGACACAAGAAATTAAAAATTTACGTCCTTAAAAGACTCCAGGATATGACAGTCACTGGAGAAATATTTATAAATTGACGAAAAAGAGGTTTGTTAACTAACGTACCTGTTTAATGCTGAATTCAGAATGAAATATATTCCCAGCATCTGGAAATTTGCAGAAGTCAATTTGATAAAATAATCCTGGGAAACAGGCGAACGAGGTCAAATCATATAGACTACTACCGACAGTCTCTAAGCTTTACGAAAAGTTATTACTAAAAGGAATAAACCTCATTGTAGAAAAAAAGATGATCCCTGACCACCAATATGGATTTCGAGCAAGACATTCAACTATAGACCGATTTCACCGAGTATCGGAAGTAATAGAAAAATCATTGGAAGGAAAACAATTTTTGTTCGGCTATCTTCTTTGATGTCTTACAAGCTTTGACAAGGTCTGGCATGAAGGATTTATCAGACAAATAAAAGGGATGCTACTAAAGCAGTATGTAGATCCTACTCCCCAGACATTTTAGAGTTTTAGACAGGGAGATTCAGGATTAAAAACAATAATATTCAGAATTAAAAACAATAAATGAAGGAGTGCCACAATGCAGCATATTAGGTCCACTACTTTACCTGTTATACGCAAGTGACTCGTTGGAGCAGGTGTTCAGATCGAGGTAGCAGAATTCGGCGGTCAAATCAATTGTGTGTGTACGAGCGGGATTCGAACCCACGACCTTCGGCTCAATACGCCGCTGCTCTAACCAATTGAGCTACCGTGACCTCAATCCACTCGGACACCAACTCCCCATCTCAACCTCACCTCGAATCCCGCTCGTGACGCTGACTTTTTTATCTCGACCAATACCTTTCATAAATATTAATAATTGTACAACTGATGATACAATCAATATAACTATAAAAAACTTACAAAACAACCTTAAATATGTCTACAGATATTTAAGTTTTTTTTACGGCCGATCTCAAATTTCCTTGAATACTGATTCAGTCCCATCATTGCCAAGGTTGTAACAGTATTTCATTGTATTTGTCCACACACAAGGTCTGACATTTGGTTTTAACCAATTCGGAAATACTGTAAAACGGTGTTTGAATTCCAAAAGACTATAAGTCTTAGAGGTAAACCTTCTTTATTTACTTTAGGCAGCCCGTGCATTCTAGAAAAAATCGAATTGTGGATTTTGAATCTTAAGCTTTCACTTTTGTCAATGCATTGGTCAAACGACAGAGAGAAAAAGTAGAATTTATAGTCATGTTTCTGATTGTGGCAATAAATCCAGAACTGGTGTATCAAAACATTCAATATCAAATAGGCTTAAATTTGGCTTTTCGAATGTTTAAATACTTGACAAAGGGCTCAATTACTCAGAAGAAGAATAAAAGAGGTTCTACATACTGAAATGGATAATAATAATTGTAACATTCAAACAGATACTATCGGCTTAAGTTCAATTTATGAATGTCTTTTTATTTTAAAAAGAAATCTTTGATAACGAGAGGAGGACCTCCGAGATAAGGTTGCAACACTGTTAAAATTCTCGCCAATGTTGGATTGAATCGGTCTTTAAGGAAATTTGAGATCGACTGTAAAAAAAAATCTTAATTTGCCTATCTGGAGACATATTTAAGGTTGTTCTGTAAGCTTTACATAGTTATATCGATTGTTGAATCAATTGTACAAATATGTTTTTCATAATGTGCAATTAATGTAGGCCCTGATGATGACAGTAAAATAGGTCGAAAGCTTGGCAGTAGCAACTAAATTTTTTCTTCTTCTTCAAGATCATGTCATTATCTAGTGTTCGAAAGTGAAAAAGTGGTCGATACTTCTAATACTAAAAACTGTAATAACAAACGACAGAACAGTCATGCGGATTGCATATTCTCAGCGCCTTATCTTTTTTACGTTTATTAAATCAATGCAAGGCACATTGAAAAAGTTCAATCATTGTAAACCTTTTTTTTTAATGTAATAAAAAATCTAATGAAGCCTTTCGTTGAATTATGCTAAGGTTTCTATTAAATGTTTATTTTGAATAATGGTTTATTATCACTTTATTTATTATAAAATACACAAATGTATGTATACATGTGTTTTTTTAATAAAGAAGGTGCGAATAAACCATTATTCAAAATAAATATTTAATATATCTAAAGTGTTTTTTTACAACCTTTCGAATTTTCCCTCCTTTTGCCATTTTTCATTTCAACCAAAGCCTTATATAAAAATGTTATTTGAAAGAAGTAATTTGGTCAATCAAACCACTAAATATAATGGCTGTATGTGTACTCTAGTGCCTATATCATTGATGGGGATATTTAATCTTGATTATACCATCTTAAGATGGTCGGGCATCTGGTGACATCACGATGCCTTCACTGAAGTTATCTTTCGGTAGATGTTCACTTCGGGACGGATTAATCGGTTAAGGAAAAAACTAGTTAACGAATTTAGGTGTGCTCACTTCGAAGGTTCGACATTCACTGCCATTGCCTTCAAGCAACAAACAGGCTTAAGTCTACTTGATTCTGTTTTGTCTGCAGAGCCAACAGTAATTTAATGTCACTTATCTTAATTTTATAATTGTTTAACACATGTTGAAATAAGATTTATAAAAAATAATAATTTTATCCATTTATGTTTTAGTGGTCAATTGTTACTTCTTTCAATTAATTATTCTTTTTCTGTAAGGTTTTGGTTGAAATAAAAAAGACAGTGTCACGAGCGGGATTCGAACCCACGATCTTCGGTACAATACGTCGCTTCTCTAACCACTTGAGATATCCTTAATTCAATCTTCTCGGACACCAACTCTCCATATCAACGCACAACCGTTCCATCTTTTTGCCATTTTCAATTTTTTTTTTATCTCAACCAAAACCTTACATAAAACGAATAATTAATTGAAATAATAATTTAAGTCAAATCTAATATTAAACAAATACATCTTTCATTCTTAAACCGATTTATTCGGGCCAAAAATCTACATAAAATAATTGATTAATTTATTTTTTATTTTTATAATTTCATTTCAAATATAATGAATATCACTTTTATTTATGCTTTGGCCTTAAAAACAAAATTTTCTTGTAAAAAAACGAAGCTTTCAGTTGTGGTTCAACAGGTAAAACTAATGTTTATTATCATTTTAATTATGAAACGAAAGTGTATAATTTTAAACCGTCTAAATCATTTATAATCCATAGATAAATATAGTTTCATCTCAAAACATAATTTGCTTAGCAGTTACTATACGAAAGAGTTTCTTAAGATTTCTGTGGCACATTAATGTCATATTTAGTAATCTGTCTACTAGGCATGTATAACCCTATTATTATCGTACTTAGAAATAAAAATTACAAATCAAAAATAAAAATTGCTGAGAAAGTAAATGACATCACAATTGTTTTCATCGGAGAATGGAAAGAGAAAAAATCTTTATGTACATAGATCCGTCCAAAAGGCTTTTCTCAATTTATCCTGGAATTTTTACAACAAGCGGTTCCAGCGAGGGTAAGGTATAGGTAAAGGGGTTTATTAGGATTCTGTGAGATACACAAATCTTCTACTATCTTACGAAGAAGCAAATATAACTTTACTTTTATTACCCATCTCGACGGCTGTGGGAATCTCCCTCCCTCCGAGTGACTACGGCTGAAGTGTGGGGCTGTATACTTGTACTCTCTTTTTACTCTACGACTCATAAATCGATGTTTTAGAGTTTCACTACTGGTAACCGGATAAATAATGGAACATATTGTTTCATGAATAACTTGCACTGAAAATTGTAGAATTTCCTCGTGAAAAAAAGTCTTCATAACAATTCAGTTTTCATATTAAACAAATGGTTTGATTTTAGGTTTAAATCGTTAATACAATTTTATTGTTTCAGCTTGGCGTCATCCTGCGACCTTACAGCAGACGCGTTAATGCTCGAAAGAGCTATCAAAGCCAACGACACTCTCAGGGTAAAACGGTTTCTCAATATACACCATGACAAATTTCAGGTAAGATGCAACTCTATGTTTTTATAATAATTAATAATATAATGAATAATGAAATTTGGGTACAGAATTTTTGTAAAGGGTTTATATAATTTTTAAACGCATTGAAAAATGGTGGAGTACTGTGTACCGATTAGTTGATAGAAAGATGAATATANATATATAAAGATAAATAAAGATGATGATGATGAACGCTTAGTTTATCAATCACACAAGATTTGGCCTCAAAGATTCTTTCATCTAATGAAATACAATTATTACTAAGTTTATTTTACTTCTAATTTTGTAAGCATTAATTACTTCGAATAACCTGATTTTTGTGGTCTATATGTTAGATCTATTCGTTTTACATTTAATTACATATGTATTTACTTCAAATTGCATATTGAAATCAATATTCTGATTTACAGAATAATTGAGTGATTAAAGAGTAAATTACTTATAAAATAAGTCAACAAAAATACTTTTTCAATACAATTCGGTATAAATCATGAATTATAATTTGTCAATATAAATATAAAAATAAAACTTGTAGTCATTAAATAGTAATATAAAAAAAGTATTTAAAAAAAAACCAAAGAAGTTAAATTTAAGACAGCGAATTTTTAGCATCATTCAGTACTTGATAAAAGGTGATTTTTAAGACTATTTTGGAAATATTTGATATTTTTACATACTTTTATGAAATATTTCGTGTTGTAGAGAGGGAAGGAGAAATATTGGGATAGGGATAGATAGATAGTTGCTAGAGTGAGAGTGAGAGTGAGAAAGAGAGACAGAGAGAGAGAGAGAAAGAGAGACAGAGAGAGAGAGAGAAAGAGAGAGAGAGAGAGAGAGAGAGAGAGAGAGAGTACCTATTTTACTACTATATATTTTAACTTTATAGACGTGACAGTTCCAGTTATTATTATAATAACAGTAATAACTAGAACTGCCACGTCTATAAATTTCAAATATACAATAGAAAAATGTATAGTCTCTCTCTCTATCTATATATCTCTTTCCTTCCCTTTTTCTCCTCTTTCTGGCAATTTATCTTTTCCATTGAGGATCGGCCTCGTATTATTTTACTAAGACGTCGTGATGTGTCCGAATCAAAAATTGTATTTATTGTTTTTATACGGGGTAAAACATTTTATTTCTTCAACGTTGTTACTCATTTATATAGTCATTGCATAGTAGTCTTTTTTATATGTGATGTGGTGTAATAGCAAACAGTCCTAATCAATTTAACGCTTGTTTTTATAGAAAGATATATTCATTACTTCAGGAAGGTCGGAACGATTGAATTTATAGGGTCCGCCTCTGACCAAGTCAATAGGTTATTGGACATATTTCTCATTTACAAGGTCGGGAACTGTTTCCACGGAGGCAGAAGGGCACTTATTTATATTTCTCAGTTTTCTTCCATTTTCCGATCCCTTTTATATATTTTCTTTTTGGCCTGCCATACCTGGAAAATTAAATTAGGGGTATTATATTTGTCATAATACATACAACCAGTCGTAAAAGAATGAATGCTGCCTTGGTTAACATAATTATTGAGGATGATGAAATTCCTTTCTAAAACTAACATATAAACCCATTAGAGCGATAAGATTTACACTTCACTAATTACTGAAGTATTTCCGTACACTAGTTCAAGGGCTTTGTCCTTTTGAACATTCTAACGATGTCGCAGTTGTGTAGGAGTTTCGTCGCTTCCAAGTTCTCCTGTACACAGACGCAACACTGATGTTTGAAAATCTTTGTAATTATTATAAATGTACTGTTAGTTTAAAAATGTATATGCATGAGTATATAATACTAGTCAATGGGTTGGTACCCTAATGCAATTTTAATTTTTTTAAAATTTGGGTAATTAGTGATATGCTGTACATTTTAAAGTAATTTTAACAAATTACTGTAATAATTTTCAACTGCTATCCATCACTCGCAGCTTCTGGGATGTTTTGAAATTCAAATTCTCTTTTTTTTTAGCAAATACCATTAAAAGCTTCCATAAAGGGCTTTATAAAATCGAAATAAAGAAATTTATACAATTGCATTAACATCAGTCTAATGGGTTTTTCGGGTGTGGGGCGAGATGGAGAAAACAAACAAATCTTGTTGTTTTAAGGTTAAAAACGATGGTGAGGTGTTGGCGAAGTATCCGTCGCTACCTGATTCAATAAGAAGATTGAAAACATGATAATGTTCAATCCAAAGGCCTTTTCCCTTACCTGCATAATAATCTCATTTGAACGTCGATTCTTAGTCGAATTCGATTTATATAGGAAAATTTATTTCAATCATAGTGAGGAAGGTGATAAGACCTGGCTCGGGACTGTTTTTAACCGGTGTATGTTTGTTCTTATTAGGGTTTCTGTCCTTACGTTACTCTACAAAAAGCACATTAAGCTTTATAAGCATTTAATATATATGGTTTTGTTCAAAACTTAACACATTACATCTAATATTAAACTAGCACAAACGGATTTCAAATACGAGTGAAAACATTTTGTTGGGAACAGTTATTTATTTTTTTCTGTATTAATGTGGAATAAAACGAAAATAATTATTTATGCCTTAATAAATTGCCGAAAGAACAGTTTTGTGTGTACGTTCCGCTAATCATTATTGTTGTACAGGGTTCACGACATGTAATCACAATTAAAGTGGTATGTGAGACCCGGAAACTTCAGAGTGTGTACTTAACGTAAACTTGAATGAAGAGATGGGAAGTCTCACATTTATATTTTACTTCATAGAAACTGAAAAATTATATTCATTTCACATCTGTTAAAATATTAAAATTTGGTTTGACATTTTGCTATATGATAATTGTAAAATTAGTTTAAAAAAAATGTATTTTTGGCAGCTTATATGAGGTTTATTTTCTAAATCTTAATCTTCTAAATTTTATATTTTGTTTTTAATGAAATAAAACAAATTTTTTTATCGATATTTCCAAGAAGTTAAGTAAAATGTGAATTTTACCATGAGAAAAAATTTGACAAAATGCGCAATGATAGTAGAAAAATTAACTTCAATGTTCTTAAATTTTCTCAATAATTTTGAAAAATTTCTTTATATAATCAGCCTATGACCGAGACAAGTATTTTTATATTATCACAACTCCAACACAATTTTTCAATTTAAATAATGAAATTAAAATATACACGAAGTCTTCTTAAACTTTGAAAATTCTGATAGTCGATGTGAACAAAGAAATTATTAACTAATACGTAACTTACATTTTCAAAGTGTGAACTAAATCAGAGAATTAAATTTGATAAAATTAATCGAGAAATAAAGTTTGACAGGGATAATCTGATATTTTTTAACAAGTTCTAAGTCACAGGACTAATGTTTTTAAAGTAGTTGTATTTTTAACAAACAGTCTTTCAAAAAATTAATATTACTATATAAGCATAGCTCTTGTGGATATGAATAATTATTGCGATTAAAAATAACGCAACCCTTTAATCTGTAATTGCAGTCGTTCTGCATAGTGATAATTGGACCAATTTACTTAAACTTCGTCAACACGTTTCTAATTTGCCCCCAATCAGTTGCAATCATGGCACACGTATGCGAACGAGTTTTCAAGAGTTCACTCATCCATTAAAATCTGTATGATCAAGGTCGATACATCGAGTATAAAACCAAATTTGTAGGATGTACGAATACGTAAAATAAAGACAAGGTGAAAATTTAAACTTTTTTTGTCACAGTATAATACGAACTGAATTTTAGTATATATGTTTTTAACAAATACAAGGTAAAATTGTACATCAAAAATTTAAAAATTATTATAAATGATTTCTCACTATCAGATAAGCAACCTTATTTGGATTGCAAATTGAGGAGAATGTCACAAAACAGGTTTATGTACTAACGTGTGGTTTTTGGTGACAGTTAGTTTATGATTATTTGGAGATCTTGAGATGCGGTCTGGTGTGACGTAGGTTTTAGAAAAAACATTTTCTTATCGCGCCAACGTTTAGTTCTTTGTTGAGATCATCTTCAGAGCCTGGGATTTATAAACATTGTTTAAATTATTCAAATACATGTAGGATGTGAGAAAATGAATTTATACGATGCTAGAAATTTTAGAGTAAATCAAAGTATTTCTTCTCGTGTTTGTTTTCTGTGTAGATGTGTCATTTTTGTATATCATGTTGAGAGTGCCAGTGAGATATTGTTGTTTTAGGTTTATATACGTTGGATTTTGAATGGGTGGAGAGAAAAAATCGGGATAGAAAGACTTTTTTATATGAGGAGTCGGCTTCATTGTGGTGAAAGGTGATTATTCTTTCAGGATTATATAGACGGGGATAATTATGGCAAGGAAAGCAAAATTGTTGAAGAAGTAGACTATGTAGAAATGTTTGATGTGTGGAATGTGATGAGTGTTTTATATGTTATGTTTTGTGTGATGTAATGATATATGTATGTTATCGATATTGAATTTGATTAATGATATTAAGCTGCGACTGAGTGTCAATTCTTTAATTGATGCTTGTTTATCTCTGTTTTATGTACTAATACGCTCCGACAAGAAGAGACGATTTTTAAAATGTCAACTAACAAATTTAACCTTACCTATGCATTTGTTTTTTGCAAAAGTAAGGGCATTTTTTAACTTTACATATTTGCAACAATTATAAAAAATAAATAAACAATTATATAAAATAGGTGTGACGGTATGCAGTGTATTACCAACACAAGAAAACAAAAAACTTTTACTCCTCAAAGGAGTCAGTATAGGAATCATTTAACAATTTCGGATATTGTCTTGATATCTGCTAGTGAATGTCATGAAAGATATTCCTTTGGTATGAAGCAAAGGATTCTTCCCAGTGGTATGGTATCCAAGATTTGCGTGTTTCAAGAACGGATTTACCAAGCACTATGGCCTTTTAATACCTATTGCAGGGAAGCATAAGATATGTTCTGCCTCTTTTAGAAATTATCTGAATAGGTCCTTAGTTGATAGTCCCGTTTTGTTTAGGTGATATTCAGCTGGAGCATGTCCTGTAAATATGCCAGTTAGAGGATTTAATTTGTTTATGTTTAGTAGGGACTTTCTCTTTCTCCTGTTAGGGAGTTGTTGTGGATAGTCTTTTTGTTAGCCTCATGCATAATCTTTGCTCCAAGATTTCGATGTGTTCTTTATTTACCCAATATTACCGGCCACTTTTACTGTGGCTACTAACTTGCTACTAATTGCACAATTTGAGAATTTGAGCCGAAGGGTTTTTCCGAGGCTTCTAAGCTCCTTTAGTAGTCGTAAGTACTTCAGCTGTCTCGTTACATTTAATTCCCACATGGTTATTTACAGATCCCAATTTTTTAGAGTATGATGACAGATGCAGATTTATTCTCGTAAGCTTAGAGAGCTTTTAGAGCTGCCTGACTATTTGAAAGAATGATTACTGTTGCAAAATTGGGTTGTTTTTTGTTTATTTCATATGCACTAATTTCTATGGCAACCAGATTGGCTTGGGATTGGGCCTTGGGCCATGTATTTGGTTAAAGTTAGGCCCGTTTATGTCCACGACCATGACATTTCCCTTCCTTGAGCAGTCCGAATACCATAGAAGGCTCCTGGATTAACTCCTATTGATTTATATTTCCAATCAATATTTTGAATGATTTTTACCTATTGTATTTTAATTAACACTGAAAATTTTTTGCTAAATTTACATGTACATTAGTATAGGGCCGTTTTATTTTTAATTTAAATGAGTATTTACGGATCAGTTTCTTTTCCTAGAAGACACAGTCGAGACGTGGTCCGGCAAGGTTAACCTACATGAAAAGATACTATTGTAGGTCTAGCACGTAGGGCGAGTGGTATTTCGTCGAGCTGATGTAGATACGTCTTCCTCCTTGCCGCTCCAGCAACAAACATCCAAAAGAGAACGAGCAAGGATTCACATTATCTCTTGGCCTCAACGGGTCAAAAACATTTTGCCTACCAGAGATGATTTATTATGGGAGGTTATTGTCGTTTATCAGTTAATCTTCTTTGAGTTATTATTCTGATTTTTTTATAGGTACTTTTGATCTTGAGTAGAACATACCTCGACCAACATTAAAAATATTTCTTATCAAAAAATGATGAGGTTGAATTGAACGCTAGGCCTATATTTTTGTTGAACGAATAGTTATCCGATTCCTCAGTAGACCGTACCTACCTACATGACCGTGTATCGGTTTTGGCAAAACTAATTGTTCTTCGATTCAGTAGCGGTTAGATAAATACATATATAAAAGATCCAGTTGAATGGTAGATTAAAATTTTCGTTTTATTATGTCTGGGGTGGGTAGTGCATTGTATTTTAAATAGTTGGTCAGCAGACAGGTCCAAGTGGCGTAGTCAACAGTTAACCATGTATTGGTCTAGTCTGTCTTACATTTGGATTATTGACGACAAAGGTGCAGAAGTGTTTTAGAAAAACGGTAACTAGCTTTCCTTTGATAAATCATCAAAAATTGAAATAAGTGCAGCCAAGTGTTCTGTGTTATCAATTCAAATCGTTGTTATTTTCCTTTCCACCTATCGGATTTACATTCCAGTATAATATAATTATAAAGTGACAAATCTAAATCGTACTTATAATTTGAACCCAAGTGTTTTTCACCTGTCGTATAAATTGAAATTCCTTGAAATTTGAAACTGTGGTGATTTCCTTTTTGGAAAACCCTTATTTCACACAGTAATTGGACATGGAAAGCATCGCACGTTCAGCTGGATTTTACATTTCCCCTTGCAATGCAAAACGAACTTCGTGGCAAAAACGATTCTGATCATTATTGAAAGAACGTTGTTATTTGAAACAAGGAAAAAACCGACGAACCAATATGGTAAAGATACCATGTCGTTGCTTACTACTACGCTTAACGTCGATCGAAAATAAGAATCAGAGTTCTTGATTGATTGAATAAGACGCCAATAATTCTTAAATATTAATACAACATTTAATAATTATTAAAGGAGTAACGCATTCTTTCAGCGAGTGAGAAAAAAGGGGTTGGGGTGAGTGTGACATTAAAATATGAAATATTGAAAAAAGTTAGATAAATCAATTTACTAATTACTATCAACTTAATTATTGTTGAATGGTGACCTTTCAACATCTCATATTTAGCGATTGACCTTCTCTTCTACACCATTCGAAGGTTCAATGGCTAAAACGAAAATGAATGAATTATTATTAATAGATTTTATTTTCAGGTCAACCTGCACGGTAGCCTTTTGGGTAAATCTTCCACAGACGAGTCTCAGAGCCAAGACGTTGAAATACTTCTCAGGAAATCCAAAACGCTTATCAACAGGTAATAGATTTTTCTACATTTTCAATGATTAACAAAATTGTAACGAAATGAAAATTTTGAATTATTCTAATTAATATGGCCAATTATGACGAATAAGTAAATATGGATTTAAAATGATCTGACCATTCCACTTTGTATCACAATTTTCTTCCAAAAACGAAGTTTTGAGTAATGTTCAACAGGCAAAACTAAAGCTTATTATTATTTTAATTATAAAGTGAAATTGTATAACTTCAAACCGTCTAAATCATTTATAATTAATAGATAAATACAGTTTCATCTCAAAACATAATTTGCTTAGTAGTTACTATACGAAAGAATATCTGAAGGTATCTGTGGCATACTAATGCCATATGAAATTCACTAGTTTTGACTTTGAATTAATATCTTTCAATTAATTAAGGTTTTTATTTGAGATAAAAAAGTCAGTGTGACGAGCGGGATTCGAACCCACGACCTTCGGCCAGATACGCCACTGCTCTACCACTTGAGCTATCGTGACTTCGATCTACTCGGACATAGCTCCAGTGGTAGAGCAGCGGCGTATCTAGCCGAAGGTCGTGGGTTCGAATCCCACTTGTGACACTGAATTTTTATCTCAACTAAAAACGTCTATTAGGCATGTGGAAGCGCTTTATTACCTTGCTAAAAAAATGAAATTATAAAAAAATAATAAATATTACTGAGAAATAAAATGACATCACATTTGTTTTCTAAATAACTGTTTCATTATTTTATACATTTAAGAAATTATATTTAAATGTGACAACCATTTTATAAACTTTCCAACAGTTGATCTGTTAAAATATTTCATTACATTAAAATTAAGGACAAAACAAAAATATTTTGATAATCTTTTTCCACCAGTTTTGTAAGAACAAAATGGTTATTTTGTGGTCGTTTTAAAAGTAATAACATCTTAATAAAAAATGTTTTTTAAATAATTAATTAGTTTCATGAGAAATCTTTTTACAGCCAGGTATAAAATGGGTTACACAACGTTTCTCTAATGAAGCTGTCTAGTTATATGTTGAATTACCACAATTTATGGCAGGCCCTGGGATGCAAAAAATAAATTCCTTCAGGTGTAATTTTTTCTTAATTATATAACTTCAATATAAGTGTAGACTTTTTTAAGAGTAAGTAATAAATGGGTTACTAATCAAAGTCTTTTTCTTTTCTTCTTATAATTTTGTAGACTGATTGAGAACAATAAAATCTTCACTTTCGCTCTCTTGAGCCGGGTATTATTATATTACGACCGGTAATATCTTCTGAAACAAAAAGACATTAAGACGATTGTTACCGGTAAAAGAAAAAGCCAATCTCTTATCATCCCCGAAGTCGAATTTGATTTTGTTTCTGCGGAGGAAAAGCAATAATATCAGGAGTAACATCAGGAAACGAGGTTAACTTAGTACGGGGACGGGCTATTCGATCCGAGGACTAACCCCACTGGGATGGGCACAATATAGCTCCGGGCTAACCCAATAGACAGGTCTCTCCCGGACGGCATCTCATTTAATTGTCAGGGACTTTGATACTGTTACGCCATTCCCTGGGTAACGTTGGCTCTTGCTTGACTAACATTTCCATTCAAAGCCGGTTGCCGGTTGGAAAGAATCATTGCCAGCCCATCGCACCCCACGCCTCCCTTTGGAATCCACAGGATCCAAGGCCAATTTTCCTAATGCCTCTTCAATAAGCAATTGGACGACTTTTCTTAATTATAAAGCAGCTCTTACATAATTTCTACTTCTAGATAATTAATTTCCGTTATGAGACAAACATCGCAAATTGAATAAAGTATAATTTCATTACTCATATAATTATTAGAATTTTATAATAAAAGACATCATTCCATTTTATTACACAAAAAGTCTTACAGAATACTAAGTTACTTTGTTGACCTTTCTAATAATTTTTATTTATTATTAAAAAACATGATTTCTCTTATAATCAAAATCCTATTCAACATTATGAAACTATAATTTTAAAGGTTTACAAAATATAACAATATATTTGTAGGTGTAAATTTTGAAGGTTTATTATAACATGTGGTATTTTAGTATTTCAGTTTTCCATTTATATATACACGGTGTTCTGCTATTCGTGGTACAAACTTTGCCATTAGATTCTACATTCAAAAGGGAACCAAAAAGTCTAAATTAATTATGGTCCGAATCTCAGTAGTTTTGGAGTTATTCCTCTTTTTCTGATTTTTTAAGATTTCACGACATTATTTCAAATAAACCATCATAATTCAAATTCTGAAGGGTTTTGGACAAATCTATTGATACTATTGAAAACTACGTTAAATTTCCAATAAGATGTGATCAATACTTAACCTGTAAATGTAGGTGAAATAAACATTTTAGTAGGCAGAACTTTAAAAAAAAAATTTCAAAGTTGAAAAACTTACAATGGTGATCTAAATACTATTACCAAACCTAGAGACCAGCTAATTGTAAACATACTCCATTTAATATCCTTTTCAGGTCTAATTGCTTTTTAAATTACTTTTTTCAATGATGAAGAAATTGATGAAGGAAAGATAAAAACCGCGGTTGACGGATGGGTAGGGTGGAAAGATTAAAAAACTTAAAAGGAAATTTTGAATGAATTTATTAAACTTTTTTTTTTAAATTTTGGTTTAAAACCGAAATAGTGCAATGCTTTACTTATTTACCAACACGACTGCAACTTTGATTAAAGGATTAATATGTCCCCGGAATAAAAAAGTTTTTTATTTTTTCCACCTAGCCAAGACATCAACCTTTTTTTTTACCTTTGCTTTATCAATTTCCTCATCTTTGAAAAAATATATATTAAAGTATTAGATATTAAATGGAGTACGTTTTCTGAAATTTGCTGGTCTCTAGGTTTGGAAATAGTAGTTTAAAATCACCATAGTAAGTTTTTCAGCTTTGAAAAAAAAATTATGCTTTAAAATCCTCGTACTAAAACGCTTATCTCACCAACGTTTACAAGGTTAGTATTGCCACATATTATTGGAACTTTAACCTAGTTTTCAATGGTATCAACAGATTTGTCGGAAACCCTTCAGCTTTTAAGTTGCCATTGTTTATTTGAAACTTTAAAAAATCCGGAAAAGGGGAATAACTCCGAAAGTATTGAGATTCGGACCATAGTTAATTAGAACTTTTTGGTTCCATTTTCAATGTAGAATCTACTGGCGAAGTTTGTAATACGAGTAGCCGAACACCCGGTGTAAATATACAATTATATATAATTGCGTTCAACCACTATAGTTCATTTAGGTTGGCTTCTTGATAGTCAGTTAAAAGTTGGTTTAGGTAATCGAATCGTTGAACGGGTAGAAGGAAAGAAAGGGGCTTCTTTAATGTCATTGTATTTGGAACCGTAATGGGAAAAATTTTAAATAAAGATATATAAAATTTTTACCTACTGAATTAGTTAAACTACGTCGAAGGGGGCAGGTTGACGAAAGAACTAAGTTTTCTTTTTAGTTCTCCTAATTTCTGACATAATCTTTCCGTTTTGTAATATAAAAATATAGATGTATCCCCTACTTATTTTACAAGAACCTTTGATGTTTTAATTAAAGTGTTAGTCCACTATGTCAATAAAACCTAACTGTATGAGTGAATTTATGTGAGTATCGCAATATAAATATTATTTCATCATTACAATCAAATGGTACTAATACAAATATTCAAGAAAATTAAGATATAATTTTCTCGTTAGAAATCGAACAGGGCTGGCAATCGTCGTTGTATTGGTCTGACAGTAACATTTCGGCATTTTCCCGTCGTCAGTGCTGGGAATCTGTGTGATATATTTTAAAAAACTTTTTTTCTCAGAAAAGTTATAGTTCCAAATGGCACGCAGGCATGCTTTATAAACACACTTCCTACCCACTCCATATTACCTTATCTTAAAATCCTACCAAACAGACCGCTGCTTCAAAGGAAAGGAGATCTTGGAAATCAGAACGATACAAGCCGGCGTTCCATATTCTTGGCTCCATCCCTTATATCATTTATACTGCTGACCTACCAGTATCTATAACTCGTACCTCTAGTTCCATCATCACCATCTTTGCGGACGACACCGCAATTTTTTCTACCAAGCTACAACCCACATTTAACAACACCTTAACCTCATCGAAGACTTATGAAAAAAGTGGAAGCAAGACTGAATGAAGAAAACATACCCGGCGTACGTTCTCATTGCAAAAACCGTCTTTACCTCCACTGTACATCAACAATAAAGATATTCCGACTTCCCTTCAAGTCAAATACTTAGGACTATACCTAATCAGCAGATTGACGTGGAATCCCCTCACAAGATTTAAGATACAACAATTTAAAACAAGACTTGGATAACTACGAAGACTTAAAAGACAACAATTCAACGGAAGATTTGGACTACTACTGAGACTTCTAGTACCAAAGTATGACTTGACCTTCAAAACTTTACTGTGATCACTATGATCGTACGACGTGGAACTGTGTGTCCTGCAAGCCATCCAACATCCATTGCATCCAATCCTTCCGGTCAAAAGCCCTCATAGAAATCGTCAAAGCTCCTTACTATGTTACTAACCTCACTATCGACAACCACTTGAACATTCCTTTAGTCAATGAACTTTTCTTTTTCCGATTCCAAAACCAGCACTACAACCTCACGATCCATCCTAACTCTACTGCTAGAGCCCTTTCTACACATTCCCAACCCTAGAACCCCCCCACCCCAATGGACGAGGGCTTCCAGGCCTACTTGTCCCTTAAATCCTAACACTGAGTATCAGCATTGGTTGGTTTTTCATGGCTTGTGTCCTTTTAAAACAAGCGCTTTATAACCACATTTTTAATGTTTACAAATACATATTCAAATGAAATAATATAAAAAAAATATTTCAAGGTTTTCTTATACTTATTCAGATATCGTGAGATGCGGTCGGGTGTGATGTAGGTTTCAGAAAAACATTTTCTTTATCGTGCCAACGTTTCGAT